CATCCATTGTGTCAAGCACATATGTACAACTGTTGCCATCATCATTCTCAAACCATTTGCCCTCTATCTGAGCCCTTAATATCGGCTCCTCCTTCCCGCCTCCCCACGTCCTTCTCCCTCATGAACCCTTCATTATTCATAATTATTTTGTCGTATGTTACACTGTCCGATGTCTCTCCCCCCCCTTCTCTGCTGTCCATCCCCCAGGGAGGAGCCTATACGTAGATTCTCGTAATCGGTTCCCCCTTTCTACCCCACATTCTCTCCACCCTCCAGGTATCGCCACTCACACCACTGGTCCTGAAGGAGTCATCTGTCCTGGATTCCCTGTGTTTCCAGTTCTTATCTGTACCAATGTACATTCTCTGGTCTAGCCAGATTTGTAAGGTAGAATTGGGATCATGATAGTCGGGGGGGAGGAAGCATTTAAGAACTAGAGGAAAGTTATATGTTTCATCGTTGCTACCCTGCGCCCTGACTGGCTCATCTCCTCCCAACAACCCTTCAGTAAGGGGGTATCCAGTTGCCTACCGATGGGCTTTGAGTCTCCACTCTGCACTTACCCACCGTTTTTGTTAACTTTTTATTGTGGTTTGGGACATTCCCTTTATTTTTGTTGTTGGCAGCCTTACCTCAGGGTGGGATCTGATGGACAGTCATGCTCCAGGTCCAGCCCTGGCCTGGAGACACTCAGTATACATGGTCTAGACTTCCTTTCCATTCTTCTCACTGAGGGAAGCAGGTGGCAATAGAGTGCAGAAGCACCCAGAACTGCCCCAGCCCTGTTCTTCCAACTCAAAGGGAATCATATCTATTTAATACTTTTCAAAGCATCATGCTGGGTACTTTACATCAGTAATTTCCCTAAATCACCATAACAACTTTGTGAGGAAACTAAAGCTCAAGACATGAAGTAATTTTCTCCAAATTAGGTAATAATTTGCTGAAAGTCAGATTAGTATCCAAGTCTTTCACCCTCAGATTCTCTTTCCTTTCCTATACAATCATTCTCTTACTCTCTTTCCTATCATTTCCTTCCAAAAAATATCGCCTCTTTCCAATCTGGTGCTAGAATGGAAAACATTGTGAAAGTACTAGACCTTGGTTTCTCTTTCTACTGGAGAAAGTTAAAAGGAAGTGGACCTGTCCATGTGCGCTTTCATTGACCAAGCAATTGGAGGCTCTCTCCTCTAAGTATACTTCATTTCCTGTTTTCATACTCTCGTGGCCTTCCAAACACACAGTCAACAAAAACTTAATTAGTACCTACTATGTTCCAGGCACTTCTAGGCTAGAGGTATAAAGATAATGACTTGCAAGGTAAACAAGTGGCCATCTAGCTCAGAAGCAACAAAGCCCACATGGAAGAACACACCAGCCTGTGTTATCATGAGGTGCCGAAGGGATCAGTTATCAGGCATCAAAGAACAAAACACATGTCATTGTGTGCTCACCTCCATGATACAATCACTGAAGACAAATGGGTGCATAAGCAAATGTGGCAAAGAAAGCTGATGGTGCCCGGCTTACAAAAGGTATAGCATCTGGGGTCTTGAAGGTAAACAAGCGGCCATCTAGCTCAGAAGCAACAAAGCCCACATGGAAGAAGCACACCAGCCTGTGCGATCACTAGGTGTTGAAGGGATCAGGTATAAGGCATCATCAGAACAAAAAAATCTTACCATAGTGAATGATGGGAGTGCGGAGTGGAGACCCAAAGCCCATTTGTAGGCCATGGAGATCCCCTTGCCGAGGGGTCTTGGAGAGGAGACGAGCCAGTCATGGTGCAATGTAGCAACAATGAAAAACACAACTGTCTTCTAGTTCCTAAATGCTTCCTCCCCCCTCCCACTATCATGATCCGAATTCTACCTTGCAAGTCTGGCTAGACCAGAGGATGTACACTGGTACAGATAGGAACTAGAAACACAGGGAATCCAGAGCGGATGATCCCTTCAGGACCAGTGGTGTGAGTGGCGATACTGGGAGTGTAGAGGGAGAGTGGGTTGGAAAGAGGGAACCGATTGCAAGGATCTACATGTGACCTCCTCCCTGGGGGACGGACAACAGAAAAGTGGGTGAAGGGAGATGTTGGAGAGGGCAAGATATGTCAAAATAATAATTTATAAATTATCAAGGATTCATGAGGGAGGGGGGAGCGGGGACGGAGGGGAAAAAATGAGGACCTGATGCCAGGGGCTTAAGTGAAGAGCAAATGTTTTGAGAATGATGAGGGTAATGAATGTACAAATGCACTTTACACAATTGACGTATGTATGGATTGTGATAAGAGTTGTATGAGCCCCTAATAAAACGATTTAAAAATTAAAAAAAAAAAAGATAATGACTTGCTCTTTGATGCCCATTTACTCATGGTCTCTTAGCGAGTAGGAGGATGCAAGCATATCCCACCGGCATCATGGCTGCCCTTAGACCCCTAGTGAAGCCCAAATTGTCCAAAAAGAGAACCAAGAAGTTCATCTGGCACCAATCAGACCATTATGTCAAGGCTAAGCACAACTGGCGCAAGCATAGAGGCATTGACAACAGGGTGTGGATATTCAAGGGCCATATCTTCATGCCCAACATTGGTTACGGGAGCAAGGAGAAAACCAAGCACATGCTGCCCTGTGGCTTCTGCAAGTTCTTATCCACAACGTCAAGGAGCTGAAAGTGCTGCTGATGTGCAGCAAGTCTTACTGTGCAGAGATCGCTCACAATGTTTCCTTCAAGAATCAGCCATCATAGAAAAAGCCAGCCAGCTGGCCTTTAGTCACCAATCCCAACACCAGGCTGCGCAGCAAAGAAAACTAATAGATGGCCCATTTGCAAGTTTCATTTGTGCTAAATAAATGGAAGAAAACCATAAGTGGAAAAAGAAAAAATAGAAATGTAGTCTATAGTATCACAAGTACAATGAGTGGTAAAGGACTGTAGGGCTTAATTAAGAGCATAAAGGAGAAATAGGCCAATCCTTACAAGGATTAAGAATACCATCTTAAAGGCAAGAAACCAAACAACAAACTCACTGACATCAAGTCAGTTCTGACTCATTGCTATCCTGTAAGACAGTAGCACTATCTTTCGAGGTTTCCAAGGCTGTGCATCTGTACTGGGGCAGAGATCCTCGTCTTTCTTCAGTGGAACCTTGTGGTTAGCAGCCAACACATAACCCACTACACTACCAGGCTTTGTTAAAGGCACAGGTCAAACCACAAAGGATTTGGCTAGTTCTAAATGTAGAAAGCAGAGAACCTCTTGAGCAAAGGGGGGCAGTGTAAGCAGGCACCTACAAGCAAAATAATTGGCTGTGTTAGACCCTGCAAACCACCCCTCAGGACCAATAATGAGAGTAGCCATACCAGGAGGGGAAGGGGAAGGTGGGGGAAGAAAGGAGGAACCAATCACAATGATCTGCATATAACCCCCTCCCAGAGGGACAGACAACAGAAAAATGGGGGGAGGAGGATGTCAGACAGTGTAAAACATGACAAAATAGTAATAATTTATAAATTATCAAGGGTTCGTGAGGGAGGGAGAAAAGAAAAATGAGTTGATACCAAGGGCTCAAATAGAAAGAAAATGTTTTGAAAATGATGGCAACATGTACAACAGTGCTTGACACAATGGATGGATGGATGGATTGTGATAAAAGCTGTAAGAGCCCCCAATAAAATGATTTTTTTTTTTAAAGAAACTGGAAACCCTGTCGAAAATCTAGCATATAAAATGCAAGGGAGAAATGTAGCATGAGCAAAGCTGGAAAGGTAGGCAGAGCAGAAGCCACATCTGAAACCCCAAACCTCTAAAGCTAGAGATCTCCTCTCTGCTAGGAAAGCAGAGGCGCTTCTGGCTCTGGGCAGTATGAACAGACCCAAACATCTTTCTCTGCCTATCTTGGGTCCATCATCAGGGATCTTTATTTTGCTACACCAGGCGTCCTCTACTGCAGCCCGCCGAGAACATTTATCCAGTCCACCAGGTGTTTTTGCCCCGTTTTGGTTTTTTACTTCAAAATAAGATATGTGCTGTGTGCATAGGAATCTGTTCATTGTTTGTTTGTTTTTAACTATAGTCCGACCCTCCAACAGGTCTGAGGGACAGTGAACTGGCCCCCTGTTTAAAAAGTTTGAGGACCCCTGTGCTATACCAATACTTTCTGAGGCCTCAGGAAAACCCATATCTGCCTATCAGGGTCACATCTATCATCTATCAGGGTCATCTATCAGGGTCACAATCAGGCTCCCAAATATGGCCAAAAAGGTGTTGGACCTTTCCAGGCCATAGAAAGCTACGCCAGAAAGAATCCATTTTCAGCTAAGTTGTCAGCCTTTTCTGCTGATCCAATAGAAGACTGAAGAAACTCCTTTTCTCTACCTTTGGCCCATACCTTCAAGCAAGAGACAAACAGCATGCCCCTGGCTCCTCTTATTCCTTTCAGAGCACCACTTCAAAGACTCCTTTCTGTAGCCCTTTTTCCTTAAAAGGTTACCCTGTTCTTATCTTTCACCCCATGCCCAGCTTTCAGGGCACTCCCCTAAATTTATTCAGGCCTTTACAATCTTTCTGGTTCAGTCTTTCTCCTCACAAACATGCTTTTCATCAGTGAACTCTCCAGCTTCATGATTCCTTGAAGTACTCTATTAACCTTCACCAGCCTTTCCTTCTTTTCGCCTTTAGCTCCACTTACTTGGCCATCCTTTTCCTTATCAATACCCCAAACCTCGGAACTCTCTTTGTGCCAGTAGCTATTGCTAGACAGTAGAGGTATTATAAGTATACTGTCCCTGCCCTCAAGGTGTGAAGGTTAAATACTAATGTAGATAGATACTATTAGATACTATGGTTCACCAAGCAAGAAATGGTCAGTTCAGAAAGAAAAACATCTCATACTGCAGGTGCCTAACTAGAGCATTTGGGATAAATAAGAATACAAAGAGCTTAAAACATTTACTGATGAAGATCAAAGACTACAGCCTTCAGTATAGGTTACACTTCAACATAAAGAAAACAAATATCATCATGATAAACAGAGAAGGTGTTGAAGTTGTCAAGAATTTTTTTTTAAACTTGGATCCGTAATCAACAGTCATGGAAACAGCAGCCAAGAAACCAGATGATATATTTCATTAGGCAAATCTGCTGCAAAAAGGCTGGAGATCCGAAGCAGACCAGAGATCCGGAGAAGAACGCTTGTCTTCTTTTGGCTGTGGATAGTGAGCTGAGTCCATTTCCGAGGACATCAGAATTGTATGTGAATGGATATAGTGGATGGTGTAAGATACAGCAATAATAAATAAGAGTTCCTGGGGTGATGGGGAGGATAAACAGGAGCTGATATCAAGGAGTTCAAGAAGAAAGAAAATCTTTTGACACTGCTTGTGGTAGCAATTGTACAATACTACTTGATGTGATTGGACTATGAAATGTTATAATATCTATAAGAGCTTCAATAAAAAAATTTTTAATATGCAAAGAGTGATATAAAGTGTTAAAAATCAATTATGTCACTTTAAGGACTAAGGTATTTCTAACCCAGGTCATGGTATTTTCAGTCACCTCCCATGCACACAGAGATACACAGTGTATACGGAAGACCACAGAAGAACTGGTGCATTTGAATGAGGGTGCTGGTAAGAATCTAGACTGCCACAGAGCAAACAGATCTTTCTTGGAAGAAGTACAGTCAGAATACTCCTTAGAAGTGTGGATGGCAAGACTTTGTCTCACATACTTTGGACAGGCTGTGTGATCCAGGAAGGATCAGTCCCTGGAAAAGGGCATCATGCTTGGTAAAGTAGAGGACCAGAGGGAAATAGGAAGATCCGTAATGAGATGGGTTGACACAGACGATACTCCAGCAATGGCACAAACATGAGGATGGTGCGGGACCAGGCAGTATTTTGTTCTGCTGTACTCTGGGTAAGAACCAAATAGATGGCACCCAACACCACCAGAGAATGCAATGAGAGAAGATGGGATAAGCATTCCACAGAGGGAAGAGCATATGCTGAAGTCTAGATGGACAAAATAGTGTGGTTTGTTGGAATAATTGGGGAGTAGTAAGTAGGAGGTGAAAATGGAGAGAGAAGCCGGGACCAGGTCACAGAAAGCCTATGGATTTGGACTTCATAAAAGTCCAAGTATCTACTATTTCACAGGTACTCACGTAGCCACTTAATTAATTGCCTCTTTATGTCAGCACAGTGGAAGAGGTGGGATGATTTAAATATAATTCCCTTCCTCCTATGGTTAGATCCTTTTTTTTTTAATTATAAATACTTTTATTGGGGGCTATTACATCTCATCACAATCCATACATTCATCCAGTGTGTCAAGCACATTTACACATATGCTGCCATCATCATTTTCTTTTGTTTGTTTTTTTAATCATTTTACTGGAGGCTCATACAACTCTTATCACAATCCATACATCCATCCATTGTGTCAAGCACATTTGTACATTCGTTGCCCTAATCATTCTTAAAACATTTGCTTTCTTCTTGAGCCCTTGGTATCAGCTCCTCATTTTTCCCCTCCCCCCCACCTTCCCTCCCTTATGAACCCTTGATAATTTATACATTATTATTTTGTCATATCTTACACCATCCGACGTCTCCCTTCACCCACTTCTCCGCTGTCCGTCCCTCGGGGAGGAGGTTATATGTAGATCCTTGTAATCTGTTCCCTCTTTCTACCCCACCTTCCCTCCACCCTCCCAATATCGCCACTCTCACCACCAGGGTTCATCTGTCCTGGATTCCCTGTGTTTCCAGTTCCTATCTGTACCCGTGTTTATCCTCCGGCCTAGCTGGAATTTGTAAGGTAGAATTGGGATCATGATAGTGGGAGGTAAGAAGCATTTAAGAACTAGAGGAATGTTGTATGTTTCATTGTCACTACCCGGTTAGATCCTTTTATCTTCATTTTCTCTAGCTCTTTTCATCCATTTCCTATATTACACCAGAGCATTTCATGTTCTCCATTCTCACACCTTCATGCCTTTGCTCATGCTTTCCTAACAGCCTATAATGCCTTCCCTCCAGTTTGCTGCCTGGAAAACCTCTGTTTATCATCTAAGAGCCATGTGTATAAAGTCAGCCCTATCCTCCGATGTGTGAGATACTGCCTCCATCTTTGCCTCTTTAGCAAGCTGGTTCTCAAGAGCAGAGCCAGAATAGGAGAGGAATTTGTGAGTATGGAATTAGAAACAGTTGGGTTTGAAATGGTATCTTTTGCTGCCAGTTCTCAGAAAACTTTCCTTTTCTTTTGTAGCCAAACGAGTGAATGAAGTGATCGTGGGAAGTGACCAGCTCATGGAGATCTGAGTTCTGAGGAAGTCGTACTCCTTCTCTTGGCCCCCACAACTACACACATTGTTGGATGGCCCACCTGTTTGACTCTGTATTTATTTCCCAATAAAGAGGACCCTTGAAAGGCATGGGGGCTTGTGGAGCAGTTCTAATCTCCGGGTCAGGTGGGCTCCAGGGATACACAGTGTGTGCTCGCAGATCAAGCAAAGACCAGCTAAACACATGTGTGGAACAAATAGGCCAGAGCAACAGTTGTCCAGTGATAAAGTTGCTAAGAGGGAGTTCTCTAACTGGCTGGCCCAGAGCAGACCTTAAAGCATCTTTCACTGAAGACCTTTGATCCCAATCAGGCTTTCTAGCCCCATAGGCGTAGCTGCTGGCAGGGCAGTGTCTGCAGATTTTGCTCCCTCTGCAGTGCTGCATTTGGGCAGCCCAGCTCCTTCCCTCGGCCCCGGACTTTCTGCTCCTGCTCCACCTGCCACATGTTTTCCAAGCTCTCAGCCCCTGTCCTTCCCACCCTTGCTCCCTAGTCCCCAGTATTCACTCCCTAGCCTCCCATTCAGTCTCTAGCCACTTTCTCCAGCTCAGTTATTGCCCCTTGGAGAATTTTAAAGCAAGCAGAAGGCCGCCTCTGTGCAACCAACCAGCGTATCTCCACAGGTTTTAGTGGTGGCAAGAGCAGAGAAGGGCCATGATGTGAGAAGGAAGACCTCCCCATTTCCCTAGGGAGATCTGCCCTACTCTGCTACAGAACAGCTGGGATCCGGTATCATGGTTTGACAGTTTTCTGACCCTTCTCCAACTGCACTCCTTTATACACTAATTATACTGCCTCTCCTGCTTCAGATAATTGAGCAAAAAGATTTCCATATTCTTAGTCCTAGCCACTTTCCCTCCACCAACCCCCATCTCACACACACACAATACACACTTCTCTGGCTCCTCCCTGCACTGCGTTTACAACCTGCAGGTGTTTGGTAGAAGATAAAAGCGGCTTCTGAACTCCTGAAGTGAAATTTCACCTCTTGCCATTATCAAAGCTTTCTCTTGATGTCCTCCCTGCACTGTGGGTGGCAGTAATTATAAAGAATGGTTTGAAATACTGGTTTCTACATTGCTTCAAAAATCTCAAGGCACTCAAGTCCCTTGCATAATTTAGCTTAATCTTTGTGTTCTTACTGATCTTGTGAGAGACTAGATGTATTTTCCCCTGGGGGATTCTCCACCCCCACTTGTCTTTGGGGAGCTTGAGCACCACATTCCTCCCACTGGTCAGGACAAGGTTCCTGGAGCTTGCTCTAATCAGACAGGAGTTGAAAAGATCCGGCTGAAGGAGCTAAGATGGGAGGCCCCAACTGAGCAGGGGAAGGGTGGTAGTACCAAGACAAGCCAAGCCTCGGCCTCCCACTGGAACTGACATGTAGTGTGTGGGGCCCTGCTGGTGCTGGGACAGAGCTCTGGCCTTGGAAATGGACTCTGGTTGTGGCCAAGTCACTGCTTCTTCTCTGTTAATATTCCATCTGCAAATTAAAGGAAAATCTGGGTGATTTTTAAAGGCCTTTCCTGTTCTCAGGCTTTATCCCCATTTCCAAAAAGTCCATGGCTGCTGGCCTATGGTGTTCATGTGGCCCAAGAGGCCCAAAAATTTCCTCCTCCACCACAGAAAGGGAATGGAGCCAGGGAGGGTGGGGTAGGGGAGGAGAGGAGAGGATAATAAATAAACTGCCCCAGAGCCCTCCTAGACCGTTCCTCACCTTTCCCACTGAGCCCTGGGTACCCCTGGCAATGAGGTGGAGGAAAAGAACTCTTCCCTGTTGCTCTGGCACATGCGTACCTGCAGCCCCTAGCACCCCGGATAAGAGGGAACTGAAGAAGCCAGGACTCCCCAGGGGAAGGCCGAGCTGAGTTTGGGGCCCAGCTGGGAGTAACCCCAGCCAGGCTACTTCTGTTGTTTCCCAACAAGACTGGCTGAATGTCCTTGATGCTTCCGTTTCCCTTCACTGTGCCCTGTCTGTCTGCAAGAAGGCAAGGACCAGTTCTGTTTCTTTTGGCAGCAGCTGCAGAGGGGGTGAGTATCAAAAACAGTGAGCAACCAGAAGTCCACTGGCCAGCCACCTCTCCATGGACTGGAGACCAGGAGGGTGAGGCGTGCAGAAGAGTGGAAGGAGGGAAGTGGGAGAGAGGAGGAAGGGTGCCTTCAGAGCCAGCTCAGTGAGCACTCTGAGGAGGTGTTGAGGAACAAGGTTCTGGGAACTTGCCAGATGAAGTCTAATGACTTCCACAAGAGGAACCTCCTCCCCTAATAACACTTCACCCACCTGCTGGCAAGAGCTCCCCGAGGCAATGAGGGGACTGACTGCCAAAACTGCCCTCCATTTACCACCCCCAAGGTCAGAGGGGGAACCTAGCCCTTCACCCTGTTTACTATTCCCATCCCCACCTCCCATTCCTGGTGGGGACAGTGGGGAAATGTCTAGCTGTAACCCCAAAGCAATCTAGAGGTCTACAACTTGTTCAGGACTGTTTCTACCTTGGGAGAATTTCAGGGGATGCACTTTCTGTTTCTCAGCCTTCTCCACCCCTTAAGGGGTCCCGTATATTACTTTTTAAATAGTTACATGTGTCTGAAAGGAAGCAGGGCTGTGGAAGGGACCACCCAGACTGCAGGTCTAGAAATCTCGGTTCTAATGGAGCCACAGCAGCGGAAGAAGCTGACAGGAGAACATACTCTTCTGGAGGCTGGGCAGCCCAGGTGGCCTGTCCTCTACTGAGCTGTCCACCACCAACCAGGAGGATTGCATCAGGGTCCTTTCAGCTCTAGATAAAATGGGGAGATGCTGCTTTGGCTCAAGGTGAAAGGCCGCTCTAGCACCACACTTGACAGGTGTTACTAGCCTAATGTGGACACAGGACAAGCAGGTCCCAGCTCCTGGGAGCCCTGTGTGCTGACACAGAGCCACGCACCATAGTGTTATCAGTGGCTGGTTTTGAGGAAGTCGACCTCCCTTTCTTCCAGGGCACCTGCAGAAACACTCCAGTAGACAACCTTTTTGTTAGCAGCCTGGCTTCGCACCACCCTGGGACTCCTCCCTACAAGGAAGGGGTAGACATTCCAAGGCTTAACTCACAAATTTAATGGTTAGGGCGGGGAGCTGCAAGAGTGGTGTCCTTCCACCCCCCATCTCAGGATCATTGACGCTGATGGGGCCTGGATAATAGAGACCAGGGAAAAGCATGGTGGCTAAGAAACCTAGCTGCTCCACAGATTCCCACCACACAGACCTGGAGCCAAGTTGCTAGTGTTCCTCAAACATGGATATCATCAAATACCTGCTTCAATGTTAACAGTTCTGTGACTTGCCCAAGATCCCACAGCCAGGACATGATCTATCCAAACCTCAAATCATGTCTTCTTTTAGATTGCTTATTTCCACCTCTTCCGCCCATTGTCTCAAACTTCCTGAGCACCTGCCTCTCCTAGGAAACCCCCTGCATACCCCAGCTCACAGTGGTCTCCCCTCTCTGTGCTGTCCCTTGGCCTGAGCCCCACAGAAGTCCCTTTGTGCTATTCTGCTGGGTCTCGGTTAGCTGTGTGAGGGGCCTAGAAAGCACATGATTTGCAGCCCCAGAGCTCAGCACAGGGCTAGACTTATAAGTTTATATGTTTATCTCCTGAATCGATAGTTAAACTCCTCAGTGATAATCTAGTTATTTTTCTCCTTTGTTACCCTTTGGGGAATATGTCTTCTTTGGGCCCAAAACATACTCCAGGTATGACTGAAGGAAGGGACAGTGAAACGCTGGCAGGGAGAGGAGAGCAGCCTTTACATCTCTGCCTGTTCCCTGGTGTCTGTGGCTTTGCACAGCTTTACTGGGGAAATCATTTTGTTGAGAAGGAAATGCATTTGGGGAGCTGGAGCCACCAGAGGGCATTAAATTCCAGGTTGGAGAGGAACTGCAGACCAGTTTCTCCTATCCTGGTATTTGGACACCAAAAGGCAAGAGATTTTTTTTTTTTTTCCAGTAAGCAGACCCTGCCCTGGAAGCAACCATAGAAATCACTGGACTTTCCCACAGCTGTTAGCATTCGTGAGTCTGCGGTAGAGCCCAAGTAGTTCAAGGCCAAGATGATTACAGATCTGTTTCTCCTTGGACGTTGTCTTGCAGAATCTGTTAAGAACAGTGATCACAAGAGCTATTTATAACAAAGCAGCTCTATGAGCAGTCCTGAGACATCCAGGCTGATGATTTCTATAGGACAAAGAAGGAAATGCCATAACTGGTTTTCAATGTTTATTTACCACTTGGCCAACACCACAGTATCATACATACTAGTTCCTCCACAAGCATTTTGTAAGATGAATAAATGAACAAAAAATTAACACAAGTGGCAAACTTGTTAGGTCTCACCCACTCAATCCCTAGGCCTCCTTCTCCCAGGAGGAGTTTTCAGAATGCAGTTTGATAAAGTCGCAGGAACCATCAGTGTTCTTGACCCAGCAACCCCGTTTCTGGGAACCTGTCCCAAGGACATTCTCCAAATGATTGAACTCTTTATGATTTAATTATAAGCAAAAATGCCTGTAAGAAATTAGAGATGATAGTGTATTCATGTAATGAATTCATTGAAGATTATTTTACTTTTCCCCAAACTTTACAGATTGGAATATTGATTTTACCCTCCTCTACCAGCCAGGGTTTATCAGTGATCTAACAGAAACATCACACAGATGGAATAATTTAGTGCAGTATAGTAGAAGGACTATTCCTTCTATTAGGGATCTCTAGAGGTACAACGGTTAAGCACTGAGCTATGATCTGCAAGTTGTTGGTTTAAACCCACCCAATGGCTCTGTAGACAAAAGGCCTAGTAATTTGTTCCCATAAAGATTACAATCAAGAAAACCCTATGGGGCAGTTCTACTCAGTTACATTAGATCACTGTGAGTGAAAATCCCCACCGCACCTAACAATTCCATTTATTATAGGACACAAGACACTCCTACTCTACCAAGGGAGGCAGACTTTCCAAGCAAATAAACCAAACCAAAACCCACTGGCATTCCATGGATTCCAACTGAAAACGAATCCCTAGCATAGACGAGAACTACTGTCCCATAGGGTTTCCAAGGAAGGCTGCGAATCTTTACAGAGGCACACTGCTACATCTACCTCATTAAGCAACTGGTGGGTTCAAACTGCCAACCTCTCTGTTACCAGCTGAGTGCTTTACTGTGCCACCAGGGCTCCTAAGCAAATAAATTGTTGTTGGGTGCCATTGACCTGGCTTCAACTCAGTGACCCTGTGCCCAGCAGAACAAAACACTGCCAGTCCTGCACCACCCTCACAAGAGTCCACTGTTGCAGCCACTGCGTCACGCCGTCTCCTTGACAATCTTCCTCTTTCACTGACCCTCCATTTACCAACATAATGTTCTTTTCCAGGGACTGGTCTCTTCTGATAACTTGCCCAAGGTACATGAAACAAAGCCTCCCATCTTGCTTCTAAGGAGCATCTGACTGTACTTTTCCAAGACAGACGTGTGTGTTCTGCGGCCAGTCCATGGTATTTTCAATATTCTTCACCAACATCATAATTTAAATGCATCAGTTCTTCTGCAGTCTTTCTTAGCTAATAAATTGCTGTGTCATAAATGCACTATCAAGTATATGAACTGTTAAAAGGAACATGACATTACAAAGGGCATTGGCGATTCCATGGTGGAAGTCTCACTTCTGTTCAGAAAACTAGGGTTCAATTCCCAGCCTGTGTGTTACTTGGGTGCTATTCCCCAGCTATGAGATTTTACCTCCTGCTCTCTAAGAATAATAGGGGGAGAGGGTTCCCACAGGACAGAAGTTTATCAGGAGAAGAGCCTGTATATGGAGATAGAGAGAGCCTATGCAATGCTTATCACCCCATCTCTCCAAACAAAAGCATTGTTAGGGTTTCTAAAGGTTTTTAGATGGCAAAGGACATCATGTTTATTCATAAGTAGGTAAGATTCCCAGGAAAAGAGCTCATTTGGGCAGGTAGGTGCACATCCAACAGTTTCTTTAAGATGGATTCTGTCTTCTCCTTCGTCCCCTCCTCCCCTCCCCCACCCACACTATCATGACCCCAATGCTGCTTCCCACTTTGGACTGGACCAGAGCATGTACACAGGTATAGGCAAGAGATAAAGCTCATGACGCACATGTCCCAGAAACAAGAATGGATACCAAAAGGGTAGGGGGAAGGGAGGGAGAGGAAGGGGGTACTGATCACAATGAATGGCATATAACCATACACGCCCCTTCAGGGGGAAGAGCAACAGAAACCAGAGGGGAAGGGAGACAGCGATCCGTGTGAGATATGAAAATAATGACAATCTATAATCTATCAAGGGGCCACGAGGGTTGGGGGGAGAGGGAGGAAAAAAAGAGCTGATCCCAAGGGCTCAATAGGAATAAATGTCTAGAAAAGAATAATAGCAATACATGTACTAATATGTCTGATACAATTGATGGATGGATTGTAACAAGAGTTGTAAGAGCCCCAATAAAATGATCTTTTAAAAAAAGATGGATTCTGGCTCAGAGACTTTTGGTACCAGTAAGCAAGTTTTTCTGGGATGTCACACTTGTGCAGTTTGGTTGGGTTATTGCCCCATGTCATAAAAGATCATATGGGGTTGGTTGGAGGGGGGAATTTCTAACAGGAAACTGTATTTTACAATACATACCGTGAAATTACCATTTGTGCAGACAGCAGATGAGATTTCCTTAAAACCTATTATCCAGAGGTACAATATATACCATATCACAAATGCTTATCTGCATAGTAGGCTGAATTCTTATCTGATTGAACTAGCCCAGGGAGTTGGGCTAGATTTTTTAAAGAGGGGCCCTTCTACTGACCAGACCCTACTCACCTGTCTCACATGCATCTGGTGCTTAACTACCAATTGTCAGCAGATGCCTGTGTGTTGCTATGATGCGGACGAAGTTTTAGCAGAGCTTCCAAACTAAGAAAGACTAGAAAGACCAGGCAATATGCTTCTAAAAATCAGCCAGTGTGAATTATAAATTGCAATGATTCAAGATGCAGCTGCTCAGGACAACATTTCCTAGCATTGTGCATGAGGTAACTGAGTGGGGACAGCCATCAGCAAGGAGCACAAAGAGAGACACAACTAACCAGCTGCTGCCACAGGCGGAGCATGAATAAAGGACGATGTCACAGAGGGAGAGTTCAGTTGTGAAAGCTGACTGCTGGAGGAACAAAAGAGCCATAGCATGTGCAAAAGTGGGAATGCAGAACACTCTTCGTGGGCTAGAAATGGTGCTCAGAAATGTATGCTCTAAGTTTGAAAAGGTTACAGATCACAGGAGAAACCCTAAATCCATTTAGAAGTCTCCACATAAATTCCACTGCCATTGAATTCCTCCTGACCATTAACCAGCATGAATAGCTTGGCCCTCCCTGGCAGAGTGCATTAGAAAGTAGATTGCTGTAACTCCCCTAGCCAGTCGAGGGAGGGGTGGCATAGCTCTTGGGGACTTGCCTGCATTTGCCCTTAATGGGAATTGGGGTGCTAGTGTCACATGGTCATAAGTCATATCCTGACTGCTTTAGTTGGTGGGCCCTGAACCAATCTTGCAAGCTCTAATTGTAAGGGTTTTTGGGGCGCGAAGCAGAATTAAAGATCCAATTGGTAAAGTTTTAGAAGCAGGCTTTATTGAGAAGCTTGCGGACGGTTCAATAACTCACGTATTGAGCTAATGAAACCGCGCGAGGGGAATTTCTGGCTGCGTTTTTATATCCCCTGGTGGCAGGCACAGCTGCACACAGGGACTTCAAAGGGAAGCGCTCATTAATTTTATCTATAGGTCCGGGATGGGTGGAATAAACACATCTTCAAGGGATGCAGGGAAGTGGTCGTTAATCTTATCTATAGGTACCGGTTAATCTTATCTATAGGTACCGGGGTAGGTGAAGTAAACATCTTCAAAGAACATTCTTTCTCGGGGATATCTGGTTTTCAGCGAGGGGAGGGGAGGCCGATGTGAGGGAGGCCCATGAGAAGTGAGTTCTGAGAACCAAGAAGGTGCCGAATTCAAAATGGAGTCCCTTGTGCCAAGACCAGGCACTAATAACGTAGTGTATGAGTGTCAATCCACTGTCCCACCCTCACTTCTGTAATCCATCGTTATAGAATGATGATGTATTGGCATTTCCTTCGCCCTCCCTTGTCCTTTTCGATTCTCTGAACTTTATGATTTCACATTAATGGTCTGCCTCTTCTGGGTGAGGAGCCTTTGTCTTGTCTTTCCCTGTTTAAGACGTAATAAATGTTCTTCGTAAACTATGTTTGAGATTGGGGGATCTCTTTTGAGCCCTAAAACAGAAAAAACGTTGAGAGCACTTTGGGAGTCCAGACTGCAGTTAAATAATGATAAAGGGCACTGCGGTCCAAGTGGGTTTGGTCTTTGGAGCGATGGTATGGGATTTGCATTTAGGAGAAATGACTGTGCCCTCAGTGGCGAGAGTGGCTTGAAGGGGGCAAAACTGGAGTCAGGGAAGAGCTAACGAAAGAAGTGTGGGTCCGTTGGAAGGCAGGCGAAGGGTGGCTGACAACCCCCTCGCCCCCCTCTCTCGTCCCCTCCAGACCTGCCCTTGGCCCACGCCTGCCTCTCCGAGCTCTGCCCCCACTTCATCCCGGAGGGCTCCGCGGGCGGGCGAGGCGGCAAGGCGAGGGGTGGCCCTGCTTGGGTGGTCTGCGCCCTGCTCCCCCGCGGCGCCGTTGCCTAGCAGCGGCTCCGGCCGCGCGGCTCCGGGTAATTTGCGGGCTCCTCAGCCAATGGGAGGGCGCCGCCCGGGCCCGGGCCCTTTTTCTGGGGCTGCAGCTGCAGTCTCCCCCCACTGCTGTCGCCGCCGCGAGCCGCGCGCTAGCTCCGCGGTTCCTCCAGCAGCGGCGACCTCGGCGCTGGCCCCGGCCGCCCGCCCCGCCCCGCCCCATGGGGGCGCCCAGATAACACGGTTTGGGGGTGTCTGCGCCCCCGTGCTCGTCCACATGGCTCGAGCGCCGCCCCTCGGGGAGCTCCCCCCCAGCTACACGCCCGCTGCTCGCACTTCGGCCCGCCAGGTGAGTGCAGGGAAGCGAGCGGGGAGGAGGGCTGCGAACCGGGGCTGTTACTCGGGCCGCTACGAAATATTCTGCGTGTAAGTGTCGTGTGTTCACCGGAGCCGGTGCAGACGACCGGGGAGAGCCCCGAGTGCGTGCGTGCGTGTGTGCGTGTGAGACCGTCCTGTCTGTCCCCTCCCTCGGCGTCCCGCCAGTGGGGTGAGTGTCCGGTCCGCTCTGTCAGCTGGAGAACAGGCACCGCCTAGCTAGCTGTCTTCTGCGCCCAGGAAATGGGTCAGTGCCTTCCTCAAGTGTGCGCCCAAGCGGACGGGGCAGGGTGGGCAAAGGCTCTGAATCACAGATTCCTAAACTGATTTGGCCTATCACCCTCTTTTCAAAAAGAATTACTCAGCGCCCC